CGTCCAAACTGAAAGCATTGAGAAAATAGATTTAATCCGCAAAAATAGCTTTTAATCTCTAGGTTTTTGGCTTTCTTGCAAAACGAATTGGAATCCATCGCAGATGAAACCACGCTTCATATTATGAACCTCAAAAAATTTGCACTTTCCCCCAAATCTGGAATTTCAAATTCATCTTGAGCCAATGACATAACCATTCAAATCCTTAGTTCTAGGACTAGTCCCAGTCAAAGACACTAATGGAAACTTCTGACATAAAGAATGCTTCTGAGTCTTAAGCTTCGCCGTCTTTCCTGCAGAATGTCTAGAAACTTACTAGAGTCATCAGTTAATTTAGAAGTAGCAAAAAATTCAAACTTTACCAAATCCTGCCAAATCAATGATTTCATCTTGAACCAATGTTTTGTAACATTTATAACAGAAGTAACACTGCCTAATATTCAGGCACTTGAGATGTTTGAATTGGCATGAATCAAAGTAAAAACAATAGTGAAAAATTCTCTACACTACACTGTATCAGTCTTGCTTGGAGAAGTAGGCCAAAAACTTTGAGAATTTTCGTTAGGCCTATAAAATGGCGATAAATAAAAGCAAAAATGTCTTGAATTTCGAGAAGTTATCTCGTTGAGTTCCAACTATACATTCCTTAGTACGAATGAAAAAATCTTTCCTGAAAATCTCTTCGATAAATTGCATGAGAATAACAAAGAATAGGACAACCTGATGAGGTGTAGGGCTAGTAACTTGATGATTCCTAATATGACTGTAGAAGAAGCAGGATTATGAACAAGAGGGAACTATATGGCACTTTGCAATCTCGAAACTGAATGTTAGTGGTTCCAACTCAGATGCATAAAAACTGTGTCAGGCTAATTTACAACTTGTTGATTCCGCATGCGATTGTGGAAATACGTTTTGATTTTCATCATTAAAACTACCTATATGGGATCAGAATTACGGTTCCAAATTGTTGCTGCTATTTTCCTTCATGAAGCTGTGACTATCAGAATATTAGGTTGGTCAACAAGTTTTGCAAAGAAATTCGTTTTAAGTATAATACATAATCCCAACAAATTTGTTTAGTCAAGCTTAAAGAAAGGAAATCATGAGCTTTGTGACATTGCTCAGACAAAAATTAATACAGTGATTGAATCGTAATTTTCAAATGTCGGTCCCTGAAAGGCGAAAAGGAACAAGAAAATCTGTTCCGTTTTGTCTAGAGTTTTGGACTATTTGAATAAGAGAATGTTGTTTATGTTTCTTAGTAAACATTAGTGTAAAGCAGTCTAAATAAAAAGATTGTTTTAATTTCTAAGTGAATTGCTGGCAAGACTTTTGGACCAACCTAATATGTAAGGTAAGGAAACTTGAAGATAAAGTAGGCAGCGACCTTGATTTCCATAAATTTCCCATTTTCCCGATTGCTTGTACAAAAAGAGTTTGTAGACACATTTTGCAATGTCATCAAAGCCAGAGAGACACGCCATTCAAACCATATATGTTGGGTGCACTCAAACGACAATACCTAAATGTCGACAAACACGCGATCGAGCCTTTGGAAATGCGAAGTATTATCGATTCATGACTGAGCTTTTCCTAGCTTTGTTAGAAATGCAAAATTTGTAACTTCGCTTTGCAAAAAGTAGGTGAAAACAGCTCGGCATAAGGTCAAGGCAGCTGGCTGTTAGAGAACTCAAATTTCCTTGAATTTTCTGAGCATCGACGAATCGATGCCCCTAAGCAGATTCGTAAACTCACCGCAAAGCATGGGCATAGAAGTGCTCGTTGTGTGCGTGTGTGAATAGAAACAGCGACGTCTGTCGGTTCGGAAACACGGTTGGAAAGGCGATTACGAGTCCCAGTCGAGCCTCCTCGCTCTCCTCACAGCCAGCCGTCGCCGCCGCCGGCTCCGCCCCTTTCGAGGCGGCTCCTCGG